CCCCCCCATAAAAAAACCCCCAAAAACTTAAAACCTATTAGTTTTTTGTCTCGGTCCTGGTGAGGGATATAGTTAATATATTGTCTATAGATGGAGAAAGTATTAAAGCAAGTACACTAGGGCTGATATCATCATTCAGGAATTATGTGTAAGAGGTTCTCTGGAATGAGCGCTGTGATGGTTTGGCTGCCACAGAGCCCTGATCTCAACATCATGGAGTTTGTCTGGGATTATATTAAGAGACAGAAAGATTTGAGGCCGCCTACATCCACAGAAGATCTATAGTTAGTTCTCCAAGATGTTTGGAACAACCTACCTGCCAAGTGCCTTCAAAAACTGTGTGCAAATGTACCTAGAAAAATTGATGCTGTTTTGAAAGCAAAGGGTGGTCACACCAAATATTGATTTGGATTTATTGATTTGTTCATTTACTTTCCATTATGTAATTGATAAAAATAAACTAATAACACTTATTTCTGAAGACATTTTTACATTACAGCATTTTTTCACACCTGCCTAAAACGTTTGCAGTGTTATATATTATAAAGGAAGCTGGATTTTCTGATTCTTCCGGCTTTTTCTAAATGTAGCTGGGATCTGGAGCTTTCTTAGAGTTCTGGGTGGGATGTAATCTACAGTTGTGGGGCCAGGGGTTGCCAATGACCAGTCTGGGCTGAACAGGTGGCTGAGAGCAGCCTCATAAGGAGTCCAGACCAGAGCTCAGAGGAGAGGCAGTGTGATGTGTGCTGGAGACACAGGAGGGCCAAGCCAGGTGGTGTGGTGGAGCCACAAAAGGAACAGCCCAGGAGGCTGGAGGATTTGAAAGTCTGAGAGAGCCAGGCACACAAGGTGTGTGGAAAGCTGCTGGAAGTGGCTAAAGGGTATGAAGTACCACTGAGGCGCTTTGTTGAAGCAAACATTAAAAGTCCTGGGACTATGTGTGAACAGGACAACCTTGAGTCGGTGATAACAATATACCCGACATATACACACACGCACATTTATTTTTTAACGAGACACTGAGGCCAATTTACTAAAGGCATAGAACATCCTCATTTTGCAAAGTTAATTTTCATTTCTCTTAATGAATAAGGTATAGCTAAGTGAAAATTAACTTTTCTAAGAATACTTAAATATGTGCAAAGAAAAATAACAAAAAACAGGATGCTATGTATCAAAATCCCACCGTTCTGATTCTATCGGTCATACACCAACAAGGCACGATAGGCGCAGCATAAAAGGTGCGTTCTCACCTCTCAGATGAATCCTCAAGTATTAGCCGCACTCCACCAGCATACTGCATGTGTAAAAAAGTCAGCTTTAAATTGTGTTGTTTCCAATAAAAATCCATGAGTATACACCACCAAACAATACCCCATGCCTTCTCCTTACACGCTTCACCATCTGGGCCAGGTGGAATCAACACAATAAATGCTGATTTTACACTATACCGGTGGAGTGCAGCTGATACTTGAGAAAACAGGATGTTACTCACACTCATTCACTAAACCAATTGAAAATACACTTTACTATGTAAACATTCTATACTACTTTAGTAAATCAACCCCACTGTCCTAAAAAGGTCTTAAAGTTAAGTCAAGCCAAAAATGTTCTTTCTAGTTTTGAATAGTGGGTAAGGCGTACGGCCCAGTCAGGTTTTTACTGCAACCCTGACATTAACCCTTATTTCTTTACCAAGATTAAATGAGAACTATGAGGTGAGTGCTTTTCACTCACCTCATAGTTCTAGCCGACCTGTGACAATGAGACTGTCACAGGTCGGCTCAGTAAATCGGGAGGTGAGCGAACACATACCGGCGTTCGGTCACCTCTCGATCCTGTCACGACTCTCTACAATGACAGGGGAGGGGCTGGATTCCCCCCTCCGCCAGCGCTGACTGGCACAGCTGGCTCTGCCTCTAGATAGGCAGAGCCAGCTGTCAAGTCACGCAGCTGGGCGGATCCAGACATAACTGTCGGGAATCCGCTTCAGAATCTTAGTATACCGCGAGCAGCAGCTGTAGCTCGCGGTATACTGAGCCTAGGGTGACGGGAGGACGCTAGTTTGTGTCCTCCCGTTACTCTGAGGAGAACTATGGGGAAAAGCCTTAACCCCATAGTTCTCCTTTAAGGTAAGGTTAACTATCCTTCCATCTGGTGAAATAGTTGTCATCGGGACAGGAAGGGAAGGTAAGTCTCTCTAATGGAGCTCCAGATAGCAGTAATTCTTCCCCACTCTATCCAAACTATTGCAACTTTTATTTTATACACACGGAAGGAACCATCGCCCCTAAAGATGTTTGATGAAAAGTGTTATGAATGGTTGCTATTTATGTGTACAATATCTATGAACTTTATTTAGGGTTTGAGCGTTTACGCTAGTGAAGTGTTTTAAAGGACTTGTAATTCTATTGTTCTCCTCAGATTTCTGTTTAGTGCCATTTATAAAATAACTAAATGTAGGTAAAATAATTTACAAAGTCTAGTACAACAACATGGTAACATACTCTATATAAATTTGCAGGGATTTAGTCTGTCCTTGTTTGATCACTCCAAAATGAGTCATTCTTGAAATCTCTAAGCCTCCTTTATTCATCATCAAAGCAGCAGCATACTGGCTGTCGATGTGGTCTTCGTCAGATGTTGACATACTGCATAGAAGAACTGAGGTTACATACTCTAGAAACATGTATTTTTTCCTCCATAGCAAAAAACACAATTTTGATGGCAAAATAAATTATATGGCCATTTAAATACAAACATTGCTGCAATATTCACCTTCAATAGGCAGACTTCCCCTGCTGTACTTTTACTTCCAATCCTCAGTCTGATGGCCAGCATCATTCAACACACTTCTTTTAAGCCTTGGCCATCCTGGACCCAACCCAAACTGTGAATAGCCAGTGAAAGGAGAAGCAGCACAGTGATGATGTCATTCTGATTTCTCCTATCAGCATGGCTCCTTGTGCTGCTTCTTCCTCTCACACTGCAACCCTGCTGTACAGAGACTATAAAAAGGCAGATTTTAGATCAGATCCAAATATTTACAATTTGCATTTTAAAAAATCCCATATTTAAAAGGATGTATTAATGATTGCAGAGCTGCATTATGCTGTCTCTTTTATATCTGCTTGGAGTTCAGCTTTAACTCTAAAATAAGCATATAAGTAGCAAAGCAGAATGCACACTGAACAACAGAACAGGTGCAGTGTATGCCAAGCAGCGCATCTAGGTTTCCTGTTCAATGAAGTCCCCATATAACCAAAATTTGCCAAACTGCACCTAACTAGCCTGCAAAAAAAACCCCCAAAAAACAACTAATTACACTGTAACAATAGGTTAAAAACAGGTTTGAGTTGCAGTTTTTGCAAAATACGTGGAAGTCAAACTCCGTCATCAAATCCCCTCTGTGTAGTGTGGTTCTGTCTATTTACACTATATGTGCTGGGGGTGCTTTGGCCAGTGCAGCCCCAATGCAAGACAGGGAAATTTGCCTCGTCACAGATGGGAACCATTCACACCACAGCATTGCAGTGGGAACATAGTGGTATGCCCTGAATAAAGTACGGCTTACTTTTTTTAAAAAGTGCACTGGGATGCGACGTGGTACAACCACCTCGGACATTGCTGTGCCCATGGAACTAAATGAAATGTCACTTCAATAAAGTTCTTTAACCAGTTGACACCCCCTTCAGACCTAGAACCTATTCATTTACATATTAACCACTTAAAGACCACAGTGTTAAACCCTATCCAGGCCATTTTTCAGTATTCAGTGCTGCGGTACTTTGACTGACATTTATTCCGTCATGCAACGCTGTACTGAAAATTAATTTTATACCATTTTTTGGGGACAGATGGAGCTTTCTTTTGGTGGTATTTATTCACCACTGGGGTTTTTATTTTTTACTATATTAAGGAAAAATTACCGATTTAAAAAAAATAAAAAACTGTTTCCCCTATATTAAATGATAAAACATTTATTATTAGCCAATTTTTTGGTAAACTATAAAAGACTTGGACACGTCGGGTAAAAAGACACCAAACATGTCAAGCCTTAAAATTGCGTGCGCACGCGAAACCTCAAAAAAACGATAATACCCAAAATTGGTCACAGGCGAGGCTTTAAAAGCTTTTACCGCTCATCAGTTTAGTGTTATCAGTGATTGATGGCCCGAAAATGATTGCTCTCACTGCGACGTTCGCGGCGATATGCAACGTGTGTAGCGTAATTGTCATTTTCGCGCGCTGGTGCACCGGACGCATATTTACGTTTATATGTGCGTAAACGTGGGGGTGGGGGAGTTAAACATTTTGGGTTTTTTTTTTAAACTTTTTTTATATGTGACTTATTTTTTAAATTTATATATTTTTTTTGCACTTATTGTTATTGCTATTATATAGGGGGATAACAATCACATAGTTAGATAGCAAAGCACACTGACAGGTCCTCTTTATGGAGACATTAGGGGTCTCTTTGACCCCTAATGTCACCTGTGGACCCCAAAAGAAGCTGATGAAGCAGAGATCTGCTTCTTTTCTCTGGCTATAGCAGCCAGATGACTGACAGGTAAATGCAGAAGTGATGTAATACACATCACTTCTGCATTCACAGCAGAGCTCCCTTCCTCCTGACGCCCTCCCGAGCCGCCGAACAAAAAAAAAAAAGTGTACATGGTGCGATGTGCCAGGATCGGCACTGTGTCAGGCACTACACACCGGCCAATGTGCTGTTTGTGCAGCAGTTGATGTGAATTGACCCTTATCCATAAGAGCCTCCATCTTGCAGAGGATAGCATATATAGCAAAGGATAAATTGAGTGCAGGTATGCCTGGATGTAGCCAATTCCTCCTTAAAGGCACACACCTAAAGCCCAACACATCACAATGGCTGCTGAAGTCCCCAGTGTGTCCCCACACAAAATCCAACAAACCATATGTGGCAACCACACAAATCAATTTATAGCGGCCTCATCACTTAATGTGTCCATTGCTATTTATGCTGCAAGATGGAGGCTCTCATAGATTAGAGTTAGGATCACGATGCACGGAGGAGCCTTGGCGAGGCAACATATTTTGCAACAGTTGTTCAACTAAAAACTCTGTTTTAACGCAAATTGTTAGACAGTGTTATTTGTTTATGGGGGATTTTTTTGCAGGCTAGCTGGGAAATGTTTCTGTCTCAAAATAATGCTTAACCTGCAACTGTTTTTAGAACTTGAGTCGAGGGGAAATTTTGGCACGGATACAAATGCAATACAATTCTGACTGAGGATATATAAACACTTATTACCAGCAGAGGGACACCCAAGGCATTGCTGTGAGCAGAACTCCCCATTAACAAATATCACAAACTTTCACACATCAGGTTCAGCATCAAACAGTATCAATGTCAGAATCAATGCCAGAATCAAAAAGGAAGATTTCTTTCTTTAACAATGTAAAGTTTAACATCTGTTTTTAGAATGTGTGGATACTGTGTATTCCTGTGTGTTCAATGGGAGAGAAAGTAATGGAAAGCTCTGCAACAGGGATAGAAAAAGCAATTCTAGCACTTTTTGTTTTTTTAATTAAGAGTTGGGAAGGGTTAGAACTTATGTCTGGCATCTTAACTGTTGTCTGTGTTGTGGTATTTCCCTTAATTTCCTGTAAAATGTGAGTCATAACAATAAGTAAGGTATACACTACAATACAAATTCAAAATATGGCTCACTGAACATGCAAATGTTTCCTTTAAGATAAGCAAAGTAAACACATGAGAAATACAAACAGTGTTGGGGTCTTCACAGCAAAACATGAAACCTACCTGTTTCTGCTAGCTGGTGCAATGCACAAGGCTCTCCAGATATAACAGGACTGGCTGCTTTCCACTACTACTGCATTAACCAGGTCTTTAGACTGAGGTTTATAGCCTTCAGGAAGTATTAGCGACTCCATTGTGAAAAAAATGCTATCATCAATTACACCAGTTCTGCCATAGAAGGCTGTAATTTTTACCTACATGCATGAAAGAAAGTGAATTTAACTTTGGGAAAAGTTTGGAACTTGTACTGATAAAAAGTGTACAAACATTTTAGTACAGGACAAAGCCAAGACATCATCTATCAGGTATGCCAGACTTTCTAAAAAGAAGCCTATTGTCAGCTCCATGTTTTCTGGCCGATTATGTTAACCCACGAGAAAACACATTACCATCTCTGCTGGCAGAGAGAAAGGGATGCATGTGTCTCATCAGACTTATTCAGGTATAGTTTTCAGCAGCCTCTGCTGGCCATTGCTTAGAACTACCCCTGCTGGCTGTAAGCAGAAAATATAAAATATTAATAAGCTATTTTTTCACATGGACCATACTGAAAAGAAAAAAAGTATGTTTTTTGTTTATAACCATAAAAGAATATAAAAAAGAATTTCCGGGGGGGCGTGGCCGAACATGGTGGTGTGAGGACGTGCAGCCGTGAGCTCTACTGCACCGGGGCTATATTCAGCAGACTTTTATAACCTACCGACAGCCTTTTTCTCTCTATGCCCGACGGCCGAAGCCCCCCTGCTGCCCCTGCATCCACATCTACCAGAGACAATCGCCACATATTTTACACGGCGTCCGCTCGTAACCACCACTCCACTAGGCCGCAGCATGGCGGCGAAAGTCGCGCCGACGAAGCCGGACCCCACACAGCCGCAGACACCGCCCAAAATCTCCGCTCCTCAATGCGGGCCACAGGACAGAGGACGCAGGATCTTCTGCTGCCGCTCCAGCCTCCCGACACCCAGCCTCACTCCACGGCCCCCCTGGACTCAGACATGTCCATGGCTACAGAGGTACGTGACCTTTTCGCTGCCTTCAGGGCAGATTTTGATTCTTGGGCCACGAGGTTGGAGGGGGCCTTAAGGGGAGAAGTCAAGGAACTCAGCAGGCGAGTCACTGCCACTGATTCCAGTCTCGCAACTCTGTCAGCCTCAGTGATGGCTCAGGAGACCCGACTGGAGGCCTTGGAAGCAGCCCAAACTACTCACCGCTCCCACCTTCAGCAGGTACAACTGCGCATAGAGGATGGAGAAAACCGGAGCCGTCGCAACAACATCCGCCTAAGGGGGATCCCAGAGGCCACCCAAGGCCCTGATCTACAAGTTACGGTGAAGGCCATACTCAACTTGGCGTTGGGGAAATCGCCTAATGAAGCCATTGAGCTGGATAGGGTACACCGTGTCTCGGGAGGTAACCTGGGGAATCCCAACCGCGTTCGAGATTTCCTCTGTCGAGTACATTTTTTTTCCATCAAAGATGAGATCCTCCGTGCAGCATGGAGAAGCGGCCCAATTGACTTTGATGGCGCCTCCATACAGCTTCTTCCAGACCTCTCACGCCTTACCCTAGCCATGCGAAGGTCCGTGCGGCCATTACTGGATAACATCCGCCAAGCTGGAGCCACTTATCGCTGGGGGCACCCTTTCAGTATCCAGATCCGTAAGGGCCCCGGCTCTTTCCATTTGCGGTGTCCATCACAACTCCCGGATCTTTTTGGCTTCCTTGGATCTGACCCGGTCCCTGTCCCGGATTGGCTAGACCTACCGTTCACTGGAGAGAGTCCCATCCCGCAGGAGATCCTGCCGCAACGGCGCAGGAGGGCCCGCTCACGTTCTCATCGGAGGGGTCCTAGTCCTTCGGTACCAGTCGCACCCTCCTCCAAACGAGGGTTGAGGCTCGACACCTACTGCACCGGTTTTATATTTTACTTTATTTTTGCCTATTGTGCCTTGGTCTTACCACTACTGCCTGAATGCCTTATACTAATGTGACTATACAGGAATGTTCTTCCCATAGCCACTACAATAGATGTATCTTTTAAACGCTGGCCTATTGCGGCTTGCGGGGGTGTGCCGCTTCTCTCTCTCCTCCTCACCCCTCTCG